CAGCACAATTATGATTCGGCACACTTCAAAAAAAGCTAAGGCAGGAAAGTAGCGGCAAGACTTTCTATGAAAATGAAGGCTATTAGATCAGGGTCTTTGCCACATAGAGGTGGTGGCTTCATTTGTTTTCCTTATTCAGGTTTTTTTTCCACCAGGTGATCCTGCCAGTAACACATTTCCTGACCTTGGGTGGCTATGCTCACTCCTCCACCTAGACTGGAATTCAAATATGTCTGCCTTTGAAGCTGCAGAGGACTGGTAGGCTGATATATAATAATTTTATTTTTGCGTTTACTTATCCTTTCAAAGAAAAATTGAACTTTCAGATATAGTGCACTTATCCACATCTATGGGGTCATCTCCTAAAGCAAGCTAAAGATGCCCAGGAGGCAGCTCCACAGAAGTGAATAAGGTTCTACTGTGCAGATACAGCAAGGGAGTTTTTAACCACAAAATACAAACAGTGTAGAAGGCTGCAGCTTTCAGTTTTAAAGGAAGTACGCTTCTGGTGCGAGGGAGGTTGGATACTTTAGATAAATAGGCTAAGAAGGCTGGATAAGTGTATTTTATTTTAAAGTACGCCTATCCTTTGAGAAACATCTCAGTATGCTACATTAATACTCACAGTACCAGCGCTGTAACTACAGACCCTCCTGTCAGGTGCCATACATTCGCCTCCATTTACTACAAGGATCTGGTGCTGAACAGCAATCTTGTACTTAGTTTGAATGGCATGCTTAAGGTCAGTCACCCTAAATATTAGAAAAGAGAAAAAATAAATTGTTAAAAGCAGTCTGCATGAAAAAAAAAAAGAAAATCAATTAGCTTATTAAACGTTTTAAAAAGTCACATAATAATCCTTTACATGGGAGAGTTGAAAACAATGGCAACAATACACAAACTCCTAGGCAGAGCTAAAAATTAAATGTAAGCAAACAACCTTAAAGTGGAATTTTTTTTTTCCATGTTGGATAGCATTAGGGAGGGTTATAACCTCTTAATTCTTTGCCATCTCTTTCCCTCTGGGAAGATTTCCCTTTCCTATCCCACAGCCAAAGTCAGAATTGAGAGAAAATTCTTCCACGCACGTTTAGGAGATATTCTAGTGAGCGGCAGCCAGTGACATCACATACCCGCGCCGTTCCTTCAGAGCAGCCGTGGCTCCCACGTGCATGCCGCAGTGGCCGCAGCTACCCGGAGGGAAGAGTGGGTGAAGATGGAAGCCTCTGCAGCGTTGACAGCACGCCGCTGGAGGGCTTCATTTTAAGGTATTTCATAATGTGCTAGTATGCAATGCATACTAGCACATTATGCCTTTACCTTGCAGGGCAATTTTTTTTTTTAGGTTGCTACCGCTTTAAGGGGTGGAATAACAAGTCAGCGCCATCTTTTTGGGAAAGAACATAAACGACTGTGGCAGATTCCCTACTTGGTCAATCCACTGAAGTGGAAGAACGATTTGGTCCCTGATTCGGATGAGATCAAAACGTATGAACAGGGTGACTTTCATCTCACGTATACTCAACCAGCAGATCTGGGGAATAGAAGGAGGCCTATTAGTTGGTCTGAATTATTTTGGCTGTTACACTAAAGTTTCTAAGGGTACATTACAGTGATACATTGTCTGTACTCCTAAATGCCAGGCTTCCACATACCGGACACCACACTTGTTTTGTCTCAATGGGGATGTTTTCTCTGCTCTTTAAAGAGATACATTTTAGTCGTACTGCATTGTGACAACAGTTCAGTCAGCTCAAGCTTCAACTATGATTCTCAAATTAGCTATGGCAGTCAAGAAGTGATGCAGATCCTTTTGTTGATACTTTAAATCGATGACCAGTACATGTAAATCAGTATTAAAGAACAGTACATTCCAACCCACAAACATAATAAAACACAGCTTGGTGTTGTAGAACTTTATGAACACAAAGACTTTTTTTTTTTTTTTAAATGTGTAGAAATAATTATTAAATGCCCAGCCACTATCTTATACTTCACCCAGCTATAGGGAGCAACAGTTTCTTCCTGACAAATTAGCATTAAAACACTAAATAAAAAGTAAAAATAAAGCTTTGTTAAACACAGAATATTAGAGACATATCCTGGAAGTTTCTTTGCCCCAGACAATGAAATATTCCCTATGAATGCTGCCAAATACCCCATTGCCTGGGAAGTGGAATGGTGCGTGTTCTAGTTATGCTGGAGTCCAGTCCAAAAGAGGAAGAAAAAACGAATACAAAGCCAGGACAGAGACAAGATACAAATTGATGATTTAAAACAGTGCTGTCCAATTTATTTGCGTAAGAGCGGGCCACATTTCTTTTACATCTGCTGCAGCTTTTGCATATTAAAATATGACCTGGCAAAATGCAAGTCATGCAGTTTTCATACAGATATTAACCGTTCCAAGAGTTCTTGGAAGATTAACTACTTGTTTTCTAATAATAAACGGATACACCTCATGTGATAAGGCATATTTAGCATTTTTATAGAATGTTTTAGCCAGAAAGATTACATTATGATACTTAAGAAAATGATAAGATTGCATGGGAGTATCCCATATAAACCATTCATAATGCAATACTAGATATTCCATCAAGTGGAGCAAACCTGATGCAAACGTCTTGTGTAGAGCAAATAAAAACCAAACATGTTCAGAAAAATGACAGCTGGAATCTGCGAGCATGCACATGGTATCTCTACCTTTTTTTTGATAACCTCCTTTTACCTGTTGTAGCAACTTTGGTGACCACTCTCCTGGGTCAATGCCATGCAAGAACACTTAAATAGTGAGAGGGTCTATGCTTTTGTAGGAAAAAAACAGTGTTGTTGTGCTGTTGTCAAGTTTGTAACCATTGAAATAAAGAAGTTGGAGTGTTAGCTTTTAGGTGTATGGCTATCCATCTTTTTTTGTAGTGAGAGGGTCTACGTAAGTGGATAGTATTTATTTGTTATTCTACAGTGCTTTTCTCCCTGGGGACTCAAAGCACTTAAGAAATGAGGCAGTCTTCCTGTGCACACTCGTGCAAAGTAACCTATCATTGGGATGGATTTACTGAAAGCAAATGGACTGTGAATTTTGCAAGTACAGTTTCTCCAGAGCTTAGTAAATGAGATAAAGCTTAATTTTATAAATACCCAATCAACTGCAAGGAAAATTAAAAAAAAAAACAGCATTTTTACTTGCACGTAATTGAATGATGGAAGTCAACAGAACTTCCCCTGATTTACTAAGCTCTGCACCAACTGCAAAGTGCACAGTCTATTTGCCTTTAGTAAATAAACCCCATTATGTCTTTGCAGTTTTAAAATACAGAATTTTTAATCTGGGTGAATTATTTAGGAAGTCCCTTCCACTAAAACAGATGTTGATAAATTTTGTTGCAGATCAAAATATCAGGTTGTATGGTCGGTTAAGGACAGCCACTGCGCTACTGATTCTCTATACTAATATTAAAGAACTATAGCCAAAGCTTTATTGGCTGGACTTCACCTATGGAGCAAAGGAGTGCAGTTTTTTCTGCACTCCAGTGACCCTTTTTGCAGCTGACAGCGGGTTACAGTTGTCTGACATCACAAAGTCGGTTCAAGCTCTGAAACGATCCTGACCACATGGTTGGAATCCACCCAAAAGCCTGGAGGGGCACATGGCTCTGCCTCTCAGCATTAGCCTGAGCCAGCCACTCCTGCCCCCTCCACAACCTGATGCTAGGATTGATGCTGCATCTACCTGGTTACATAGTTAGTTTGACTGAAAACAAAAGTCCATCCAGTTCAACCATAGAAAAAAAAAAAGTTATAATCCTATACCTACAGTTGATCCAGAGGAAGGCAAAAAAAAAAAAAAACCCAGCAAAGCATGATCCAATTTGCTCCTGCAGGGAAAAAAATCCTTCCTGATCCCCCAAGAGGCAATCGAATATTCCCTGCATCAACGTTACCTATAAATGTTAGTATCCAGTTATATTCTATGTATCTAAGAAACAATCCAGGCCTTTTTTGAAGCAATCCACTGAGCTGGCCAGAACCAACTCTTGAGGGAGTCGATGCTGCATCCACCTGGTGAGTATAATGTTTTTTGTTTTTTTGTAAAGCCCCTTCTCTTTTATTTCTCTGTTAACAGAAGTGAAAGTGACTTTAACCACTTGTCGTCCGCCTCCTAGCAGATTTATTGCTACAGGGAGGACGTTCTGTGCAAAATCACGTATATAAACATGGTTTTGCATTTCCGCCACTGGGGGGGTGCGCGCCTGCTACCAGAGCATCGCTTCTTCTGCGACTGGACACAACAGAAGCCAATCAACAGGTGTCGGCCAATGGATGAGCTCCATCACCTGTTGATCACCAAGGAGACTGACAGAATACAGCTCTGCATATATAAAGGCAAAGCTGCGTTATGTCAACGGCAGTCTGCTAGATTTTATTCAGGGCATAAAATCTAGCAGATTGCCTAATAAAAACAGCACACTGTACACACAAAAACACTGGCTAGGCACACAATTAACCCTTTGATCACCCTAGATGTTTAACCCCTTCCCAGACAGTGTCATTAATACACTGACAGTATATATTTTTAACACTGATCACTGTATTAGTGTCACTGGTTCCCACACAGACTGGGAAAAAGCCGCAATATAGCAATTCTGCTGTAAGTCACTGATCGCCCTCATTACTAGTAGCAAAATAAAAACCTCTAGTATATATACCGCCATTTGTAGATGCTATAACTTTTGCAAAAACCAACCAATATATACTTATTATACAAAAATTAGCACTCAACTCCCTCTACCAAAACCCAACAAGTCACTTAACATTCCTTCCCCTGAAGTACATAAATAATGAAATAATAATAAGCAAACTTGACTATAAATCAATAATAAAAGATAAATAAATAAATAGATGAAATAAAAATACAAAGTCCCATACACCTCGAGTCCAAATAAAAGTCCAACTTAAAATCCAAATCCAAAAAATTCTTGCAGGTGATTTCCCAATAAATTGTTCAAAACAAAGCAGGAGGACTCATCTACCAGCTGGACAACCAGAACCCACGATCCGAGACCGAGAAAACCTTCAGCTTCCCCCTGGACTTCGTCCTCAAAGTCCACGATGAGCGGGTGTTGGTGTCGTTCGGTCAGAGAGACAACATCCGGGTTGGACACTCTGTGCTCTCTATCAATGGCATTGATGTGAATGGACGATACACAGCAGATGGAAAGGAAGTTCTGGACTTTCTGGGAAACCCCTCAAACTATCCGCTTTCCATCCGCTTTGGGAGACCTCGTCTTACATCTAATGAGAAGCTGATGTTGGCCTCCATGTTTCACTCGTCTATGGGAAGTGTTTGGAGAAGATGGTAGAACAATGTTTGGAGGCAATCTCATCTTTATTATGGATCCTATGCTGATTTTATTTATGTTGGGGTAATTATGCGCTCTTTATATTGTGTGCAGTGGAGTTATTAATTGAGTTATTGGAGTCCTGATATTTCACGATTGCTGTGGCACTTTAGTTTGTCTGCATGTGACACGTGTGGCACTTTATTTTAATACCTGGGGTAATACACTATGTTGAGATTTTTTTTCTTTGAGGTATATGAAGATTTTTTGGAGTATACCATCAATCTTATTCGGGGATAAAGATTTATTGGGAAATCACATACAAGACTTTTTTGGATTTGGATTTTAAGTTGGACTTTTATTTGGACTCGAGGTGTATGGGACTTTGTATTTTTATTTCATCAATATATACTTATTGGTATTTTTTTTAACCAAAAATATGTAGCAGAATATATTTCGGCCTAAATTTTTGAAGAAATTTGATTTTTTAAAATTTTTTCATTAGACAATTTTATAGCAGAAAGTAAAAAAATACTGTTTTTTTGTTTGTTTTGTCAATGTTTTTTCATTTATAGTGCAAAAAATAAAATATCCAGGAGGTGATCAAAGCACTATAAGAAAGCTCTGTTTGTGGGGAAAAAAATGACATATAATTTATTTTATGTACAGCGTTGCATCACCACGCAATTGTCAGTTTAAGTATCGCAACTCAGTATCATAAAAAAATGGCCAGGTTATGAAGGGGGGTAAATCTTCCGGAGGTCAAGTGGTTAAAGGAGAAGTGTAGGCATAATGAAAAAAAAAAACAAAATTTCAAACTCACCTCCCTGCTGTAGCTCTTTTCTCAGCCTTCACTGAGCAGAAAGTGATGACTGTCAATCACTGGTTCTCAGCTCTACCCCTCCAGTTCTCACTGGAGCGACAGGCTAGGGAGGGAGTGGAAGCAGCTGGGTCAGGATCTCAGGAGTACGCTGAGAGAGTCTGAGCCAGCTGCCGGTCAGGCATGCGGGTGAATCCCAACATTATTGTCAAGATCTTCCAGAACCTAGACCAGCTCTGATGTCAGCCCGCTGTCGGAGGATTCTGGGCCACAAGAGAGCACAAGTAAGTGCACTCCTGTGATCTAGAATAAAGATATGGCCGAAAACCTTTGGCCATACTTCTCTTTTAACCACATTAGGTGGAATAGCTTACTGCAAGTAGGTCTAAATCCTTTAGTCTTCCATGTAAAGGAATGGAGAACAAAAACTACCATCCATCACCAATCTCAGCATCAGAATAGATCTTACCCCTGGGGATATATCTGTCCATACTTGGCTATACTGACATGCAGTACAGTAAAGCTGCATAGCATTTCAATTAGCAAGGTCAGTTAGACTGCATTTCTTTGGAGAGGAGATTCAACATGTTAAAGTATTTCAAAAGTTATTTTCAACCTGTCTAAATCTGTAGCATTTCATTTAAAGAATAATCTTCTGATTCTGCCATGAATGTCCTTGTTAAGGCAGGACAACTGTCACCTTGAAACATCTGCAACTGGCATCAACACACATTTTACAGGCGCAGTTCACCATTGTCACTATCAAGAAGTTGGTCAAAAGCAATGATGTGGAATCGACACTGATGCGCTTGCACATAGACAGAAAGTAGCTTAAAGAGGCTTCAGGAAAGTGGAAGCAATGAGATGCAATAAAAGGATGAAAAAGGTGAACAGTATGAAAAAGAAAAAAAAAATTAAGCAAACTAAAATGTAATTAGAACATAACCCTGCATCAAAATCATATGGATAGTGTTTAAATGAATTCCTAGTTCACACGAGTGCAGTGCGTTCCAGTGCAGCCAAGAAAAGTAGAATATGTTGCATTCTTTTCTGTATGGAACGCATGTGGAACGTGGCAAAATGCATCAAATAAGCACCGTAATGCATCAAAAACATGCATGCAGAAATGCTCTGCTCACAATTTCTGCACAAGACTGATTACAGATGCTCATCATTTGTCTATGTATAAGGGCACCAATAGTGCCACATGCTTCAGGATAAACAGAAGTTGTCTGATTTTCCAAGTCACTTAAATTCCAATTTTCTATTATTATTAGTAATATGACCCTTCCCTTTACTGGAATGTAAGTTGCAAGTTGACAAAAGTTTGAGACTTCTATCATCTGCTCCAATCCAGAAAAACACTTTCAGAAAACAAAGTTGCATACAAGAAAATCAACAAGTTTCACCAGGACCCAATGACGAACTATGACGAATGGAATCAACAGAAATTCAGCTTTTCTTCTGGAAATCAGGGAGCTGTGATCATTAGACATAAACGTTTACTTCAAATGCATATTCACAAGTGCCAAAAGAAAGACACAACACATAGACACTGCTGGAGACCATTAACTTCCAATGTCTTGGATGCCTCAAAGTATTTTTCATTTCCTCTCTTAAAATGTTCTTTTAGTGAAGCTATACTTGTGCCGCTTTTGCATACTTTCTGTAATGAGCTCACATTACTGGTCCAGTTGAACATCACAAGATGAAACAAATTATTTGTCAGCATCTGGAATGTGTGTTTTTTTTTTTTTTTTAAATACCACAGTGCACATGATTTAGGGCATTACCACTAAAAATCTTTCTAGCAGGCTACGATACACTCTATGCCTTGTAGGCAATACAATTAATCACTCTGTTATCACTTTGATAGAACGGGAAACAACATGGCTTTTTATAATATCTAAGAATGCAAATGGTAGTGAAAAAAAAGGTAAAAAAATATTAATTTTATAATAAGCTTAAAGCTAAACTCCAGAACAAACAAATATTGTCTGAATACAAGAGGCATAAACAGTGGGGAAATAAATATTTGATCCCCTGCAGATTGTGTAACTTTGCCCACTTACAAAGAAATGAAGGGTCTAGAATTTTTTATCATAGGTGTATTTTAAATGATAGAGACAGAATATCAACCAAAAATCCAGAGAAAAAAAAAAAAAAACACACAATACAAATGTTATAAATTGAGTTGCAGTTCAGTGAGTAAAATAAGAATTTGATCTCCAAGGAAAACATGACTTATTACTTGGTGGAGAGACCCTTGTTGGCAGGCACAGATGTTTATTGTAGTTGGTTACCAGGTTTGCGCAAATCTCAGGAGGGATTTTGATCCACTCTTCTTTACAGATCTTCTCTAAATCCTTAAGGTTTCTTGACTGTTACTTGCAACTCGAAGTTTCAGCTCCCTCCATAAATTTTCTATAGGAGTAATGTCTGGAGACTGGCTAGAACACTCCATGACCTTAATGTGCTTGTTCTTGAGCCACTACTTTATTGCTTTGGTGGTATGTTTTGGGTCATTGTCCTGCTGGAAGACCCATTCACAACCCATCTTCAGTGTTCTGGCTGAGAGAAGAAGGTTCTCATCCAAGATTTTACAACACATGGCCCCATCCATTGGCCCCTCAATGCGGCAAAGTCGGCCTGTACCTTTAGCAGACAAACAACCCCAAAGCACAATGTTTCCACCTCCTTGCTTGACTGTAGGGATGGTGTTCTTAGGGTCATAGTCAGCATTTTTCTTTCTCCAAACACAGCGAGTCATGTTAATGCCAAAGAGCTCAAATTTGGTCTCACCTGACCACAACACTTTATACCAATCCTTCTCTGAATCATTTAGATGTTCACTGGCAAACTTCAGACAGGCCTGTACATGTGCTTTCTTGAGGAGGGGGACCTTGCAGGTGCTGCAGGATTTCAATCCATGGCAGCGTGTTGTTACCAATGGTTTGATTGGTGACTGTGGTCCCAACTGCCTTGGGATCATTCACAAGCTCCTCCCGTGTAATTCTGGGCTGAATCCTCACTTTTCTTGTGATTATCCTTACCCCATGAGCTGAAATGTTGCATGGAGCTCCAGACCGAAGGCAAATGGTTATTTTGTATTTCTTCCATTTGTGAATAATCACTCCAACAGTTGTCTCCTCCTCACCAAGTTTCTTGCTGATGATCTTGTAGCCCATTCCAGCCTTGTGCAGGTCTACAATCTTGTCCCTGACGTCCTTTGACATCCCTTTGGTCTTGCCCATGGTGGTGCCCAAGAAAGATTCTGTGGACAGGTATCTTTCATACACATAACGGGTTGCCGTTAGGAGCACCTTCTTAAATTGACAGGACTAATCTGTGTACCACATGAGGACATAGCCAGTTTGTGGGAGTCAGAATTATTGTTGGTTAGTAGGGGATCAAATACTTATTTTACTCACTGAACTGCAACTCAATTTATAACATTTGTATCGTGTTTTTTTTCTGGATTTTTGGTTGATATTCTCTCTCTATCATTTAAAATACAGCCATGATAAAATTTATAGACCCTTCATTTCTTTTTAAGTGGACAAACTTACAAAATCTGCAGGGGATCAAATAATTATTTCACCCACTGTATATGTATGCTTGGTGTGCTGCTGTGTGAATTTCTTCCAGATCAGTAATCCAGTGCCCTTGTATCGGAGCTTCTTGCAAGGGCTAACTCACACTTGTGATTGAGGGTGGTAAAAACACATACTGCCCTCCAATCTTTCTCCCTTAAAGCAGAGCTCCTCCCAAAAGGGGAAGTTCCACTTTAATGCTTTGTCCACTGATCCCCATTAAGGATTGGCACCTTTGGGGAGTGAGGGGCGGAGCGGGTACCTGAATTTGACAGGTACTCGCTCCCACTTCCGCTGCGATCGCTGAAGGAGATCGGAAACGGAAGTTGTCCTCTCCCGTCCCTCCCCGTAGTCTTCTGGGACACGTAACAGGTCCGAGAAGACTACAGAGCCATTCACAAAGCGCAGTACTTCTCGCGCATGTGCAGTGGGCATCCAGCTGTGAAGCCGCTAGCTGTCACAGCAGGGTGCCCACACTGAAGATGCCAGCGTCAGAGAGAGAAGACATCGGTGGTGAGGACACCGCTGGACTGAGGGACAGGTAACTGTATTTTAAAAGTCAGCAGCTACAGTTTTTGTAGCTGCTGACCTTTTTTTTCCAGCTGGAA